ATCCACCTCCCTCTTCTGGCCTCTATGAGCATCGCATGCACACAGTGCACATGCATACATACAGGCAAAACACCAGTACCTATTTTTTAAACTAAGCAAATCGTTTAAAAGAGTGAAATTTGGAGTATTTACTGACCCAGCAGGGAAAAAAGGAATGAAACCTTTTAGTTTTCAGCAACGTGGATGCCAAGCGAAATCAGCCAGACTCAGAGAGACAAGCAGGGCATGATGTCACTCCTGTGGGCATGTTTAAAAGCTTCGGTTCCTGGTGTTGAGAGTGGGTAGGTGGCTCCCGGAGCCTGGGAGAGTCGGAAGAGGATGATGGGAAGTGGTGGCCAGTGGTGCTGAGTTACAGTTATGTAAGAACAGGGGGCTCTACACAGCAAGGCCGTGAGAGCCGCTGTGAGGTCCGTTTCAGAAACCTTAGGAGGAGCTGACCCGCTGCCCGGTGGTTTGGAGCACTTGTTGTTCAAGCCGGCTAGTTTTCGTCATCTTGGGAAGAGGGCGCCTCAACTGAGAAGATGCCTCCACCAGATGGGCCTCTGGGCATATCCGTGAGGCATTTTCCTGAATATGGATTGATATTAGAGGGTCCAGCTCACTGTGGTGGTGCCATCCCTGGGCAGGTGGTCCCGGGCTGTATAAGAAAAAAAGCTGTCCCAGCACTCGAGGGGCAGAGGCACCCAGATCTCTGAGTTTGAGGCCAGCCTGGTCTACCAGGGCTACACAGAAAAACCCGTCTCAAAAAAGGAAAGAAGGGAGGGGGGAGGGAGGGAGGGAGAGGGAATAGGGAGAGGAGGGAGGGAGGGAGGGAGAGGAGGGGGAGGAGGGAGGGAGGGAGGGAAGGAGGGAGGGAGGGAGGGAGGGAGGGAGGGAGGGGGAGGAGGAAATAGGCTGAGCAACCCACAGGGAAGCAGTGTTCCTCTGTGGTCTCTGCTTCGGTTCTGCCTCCAGGATCCTGCGTTGAGCTTGTACCTTGGTGTCCCTGAGGGACGGACTGCAGCGTTTAAGCCAGAGAAACCCTTTCTTCTTCCCCCAAGTTGCTTTGCTCATGGTTTTAAGTCAACTGAAACCTTAGTAGGATTCTGCTCAGACCTGAGTTCTGTTCCCAGCATCTATGCTGGGTAGCTCAGCACCTATAACTCCACCTCCAGAGAATCTGCTACTCTCTTCTGGCCCTGGTGGGCACTCAGAGCGCGTGCACACACACACACATACACACACACAAATGATAATAATAAGTCATTTTTAAACCTTAGAAAATTTGATTTTGAAATTTTTCAACATAAAGAAATGAAAAATATTTGAAGAAGTAAGTATGCCAGTCCTCAAATGTTCAATGTAATTTACACATGTATCAAAACCCTGTGGGGGCTGGAGAGACGGCTCCTTAACTCCAGTTCCAGGGGACCCAACGCCTTTCTGGTGCCACACACATTGCACTCATATGGGCACATAGGTAAAATACTCACACATAAAAAAATTTAATCTAGCTGGGTGGTGGTGGCGCATGCCTTTAATCCCAGCACGCAGGAGGCAGAGGCAGGTGGATCTCTGTGTGTTCGAGGCCGGGCTGGACCGACAGCCTCCAAAACAATACAGAGAAACTCTGTCTCGTAAAACAAAACAAAAAATGTAATCTAATACAATTTTAAAATATTACAAATAAATAATGGGCCATGCTGGAGAGGCAGGCCAGCAGTTAAGGGCACTGGCTGCTCTTGCAGGATACCTGGGTTCCATTCCCAACACTCATTGGTGGCTCACAACCACCTGTAACTCCAGTCCCAGAGCAGTCTGACACCCTCTTGTGGCCTCTGCAGGCATCAAGCGTGTACATGGTGCAGATACACACATGCAGGCAAAACAGCCACACGCATCTAAAACAGGAAGAAAGGGCTGGAGAGGACGTGTGCAGGTTCTATGCAGATGCTGCCACTTGACACAGACTTGAGCACCGTGGATGTTGCCTGGATGCTGAGGGAGACTGCACAGCCTCAGGGGTTGGAGGACAGAGGGGACATCTGGGAGGAAACCCAAGGCCTCATCCAGGCTGTGCAAGTGCTTGATTGCCAGCCGCACTCCAGCCCTGACACCCCATTCAGCACTGAGGCTAGCCCCCGCTCTCCAGCCATGACAACCCATTCAGCACTGAGGCTAGCCCCGCACTCCAGCCATGACAACCCATTCAGCACTGAGGCTAGCCCCGCACTCCAGCCATGACACCCCATTCAGCACTGAGGCTAGCCCCCGCTCTCCAGCCCTACACTGAAGCTAACCCACATGCCAGCCCTGACACCCCATTCAGCACTGAGGCTAGCCCCGCACTCCAGCCATGACAACCCATTCAGCACTGAGGCTAGCCCCGCACTCCAGCCCTGCACTGAGGCGAGCCCCTGCATTCTGTGGTTCCCAGAGTCTGGTTCCTGGTGGTGATGCTTTGTCCCTGTCCTCAGACCAGGGAACAGAAAAACTCCAGCCTGTGAGGCAAATCCAACCTGTAGCCTGTTTTAACCACGCTCCAGAGCTGAAGATAATTTTCTGTATTTTTATGTTAGAGAAATTAAAAGGAAGGCAAAGATTTATGACAGCTGAAAACAAGATCGCATCCCAGTTTCTGCATCCGCAGATCTTGTCCCTGGAACCTGGCCATGGGTACTTGTTTACATCCTGTCTCTGGCTGCTTTCTGCCATAGAGGCAGAACTGAATGGCTGTGTGGCTATGCAACTCTGGCTCAGAATATTTGGCTCCTTGAAGACAAAGTCTCTGACCCCTAGGTCTGGACATCTCCATGGGAACGTAGGGGATCGCTTTCCTTTCGTATTCCAAGTGCCAAGAACACTGCCAGCACACAGTAGGTGCTTAGCAAACCTACCTGAGTGAATGGGAGTGCACGCGGAGTCTGTTGCTTCAGTCCCCTAGAGAATGTGAACGACACACACAACCCCACCACGGTTACCGTCACATTCTCCAACTCTGTCTGGCATCTCTCACTGCACCGCCTCCTTAAGCACTGGGAGAGGCATCCCTGCGGGTGTCTCTGCGATAACGGCATGCCTGGCTTATTGGAAGGGACCACTTGTCACTCGCTGTTGGCCAGAATTGACAGGCTATGCTGTGTGGGTTGCACTTTGCTGCTCTCTGGTGGTCATTTGGAGAGGCTGTCACCAAGGAACATACGATTTAGCTTCCTGGGACCCAATGGGGTCTTCAAACCCATCAGACCAACTTACCAGAAATGTAGGAACTTGTCAGTCTGGGCTCTGTCCCAGCTCCCCACTCACACCCTCCCCTGGGGGTATCACGGGGGCATCAGGAGTGACGGCAAGCCCTCTGGTCAGTCTGAGACACTAGCTACTTCTAGGGACATCCAGCTTGGCGCTGCTAGTGTGCTCTCCATCCTGACAGTTGGAAGGTGGCCTTGATCCCTACTGACCAGAGACCCACCTAGAGGAAACCTTGTCTGTTCCCTGCGTTTTCTGCATATCTGGAGAGACCCCTCTGATGGTGAGGGCGGCTTGGTACAGAGAACTAATCCATGGGCTGTTGTGAGGATGGGAATTGGGTCTCCAGTCAACCTCAAAGTGCGCTGGGAAGTGGTTTATGATTTTGAAATATTCTCCCAAAGGCTCAGGCATTTTAAGGCTTGATTCTTTTGTTTTGTTTGTGATTCTTTTGTTTTATTTGTTTTTTGAGACAGGGACTCTGTATTGCTTTGGAACCTGTCCTGGAACTCACTCTATGGACCAGGCTGGCCAGAGATCCACCTGCCTTTGCCTCCTGAGTGCTGAGACTAAAGGTGTGCGACACAAACGTCTGGCCAAAGGCTTGATTCTTACACAGCAGTGTATAGAGGTAAGACCTTTGGGAAATGGCAGGCTTGTAAGGGCTCTGGCTTCACTGATGGATTAACCCACTGATGACTTCATACCCTGAAGAGAGGTGATGACAAGAGGGGGGACTGGCTGGAGGGAGTGGGTCCTGGCGTGTGTTGTTGGGAGTCACACCTTGTCCCAAACTCCTCCCCTTGCCCTTTCTGGCTGCCCTGGGTCAAGCAGCTGTTCCAGCATGCCCTCCCTAGCACTAACCACAAGACCCATGGGGTGGGAGCAAGCAACGAAGGACCAGATCCTCTGACAAAAGAAACCGTTTTTCCCGACTTTTCTGAGGCATCTTGTCAGAACAAGAAGTTGACTCGGACGTAGTCACGTGCTTCTCACCCCATCCTGGTGCCACCAGCAACTGCTCCCTGCCTGCCTCTGCCTCAGGAACCCCGGTCTCCTGTGTGGGCGACGGTGTGTTTGTGACGGGCAGTGGAGGGCGTGTGGAAGGATGGGTAGGCAGATGAGCGAGCAGATGGAGCGCTGGGGAACTCGGTCCGGCCTGGGTCCCCACTACCACACCGTCTCGCCAACTTCAGTTCTAAGTACCCCGGCACCCCACCCCCTGGGTCTGTGCTCTCCACTCTTCCCCCACTCCCGCCTTCCCTGCCCTCCCAGCTCCCTCACACCAAGCCCGCCATGGCCTTGGAGACCTTACAGAAGCTGTCTCCAAAGCCTGGATCACTGTTCCCCAGAGATGGCACCCTTCCCAGCCCTCCACCCAGGCTCCCCAGCTGCCACTCATCTTCATAGCACACATCACCAACAAAACTGCTTGCCTCCTCACCATCTGTCCCCATGAGGAGGCAGCACAGGGCAGGGGCTTTGTCTTTCTCCCTGCTGTGTCGCCACCTGAGTGGACTCTGATCCCACCTTTGGGGATGCAGACAACTTTACACCCTTACATCCTTCAGGGCTGCTGGTTCACCATGTAGGTCTCACCCGACCCATCAAGAAGACACATGCAATACCAAACTCCAGCACAAGGGGGTGGTAGGCCCTGTGCGCCTCACATGCTCTGGGCAGCCTCCCTCCCCTCTCTGGGTCTGTTTCCTCATCAGAAAAAGAAACTGCGATTCACGAGGGAGAAATGAAACCATTTGAAATGAGAAAGGCGATGCTTTTTGGGCTGTATTTATTGCAGCGTACACACCACCGCAGCCAGCGCCATCAAGAGCTCTGAGCAGCCTACGCCAGGGGACAGGGCAGCCAGGTGCACACTGTCCTGGTCAGTCAGCTCCCGGCACCCCCACACGGCTTAGCGGTCAGGGCCGCTGAGAGTGATGCTAACACAGGAGTTGGAGCTGGACCCCGGTTCTTGGTGCTGCCTGCAGGTTTGAGTTAAAATCTGGCTGCCTTACAAGATGTGCAGATTCCCAGCCTGAGACTTCCGCTGCCGGCCCTGTATTCTCACAATGAACAGCCCTGTGGGTGCGGACCTGGGCTGACACACTGTGGCCCCACCCTGTGCTCCCAAGCTGACAATCATCATCATCATCATCCGGACTGCAGATGTCTCATCATTGTGGAATCTGTGTCTTCCTCTGTCTGGTCTCCAGTGCCAATCAAGGCCAAGGCAAAGCAGGCCCCACTACTCCTTCCCACTCTCATGGAGGGCGCCTGAACTGTGTGACCTTTACCCTGCCCACCCCTCCCTTTGTCCAGCATAGGGGAAGGGCAGAGACAGCTCATTTTGCACATACCATCCCTCCAGGCAGCTAAACTGCCCAAGCCTGAGCTGGTTACACTGCCCAAGCCTGAGCTGGTTACACTGCCCAAGCCTGAGCTGGTTACACTGCCCAAGCCTGAGCTGGTTACACTGCCCAAGCCTGAGCTGGTTACACTGCCCAAGCCTGAGCTGGTTACACTGCCCAAGCCTGAGCTGGTTACACTGCCCAAGCCTGAGCTGGTTACACTGCCCAAGCCTGAGCTGGTTAGCTTCTTCAGAAGTCTGCAAGCCACCCAGTGTCAGTAAGGTCGATGCTGAGGCTGGGTGTAAGGAAAGCCTGAAGAGAGACTGTGGTGTTGGTGTGCCCTCTGGTGGCCTCAGGGTTCCACTGCAGCCCACGGAGGAGGCTTTTAAGCCAACCGCTGAGGGACCTCAAAACAGACTCACAGACAGCAAGACATGGGCTTCAGGGCACCCCCTTTGCACAGCCCCCTAGCCCTCGCTCCCACCATGTAGTCACCCTCCTGGACGCTCTGACAACCACCTCAGTGGCCAGCACAGCTAGGGCCCACCAGTCCACACCCTCTGAGGGGTGATCTCCAGCACCCGTCCTTCAGATCCCGATGCCTTTCTCGAGGCTGACATACAGAAGCCCTGGAGTATTTCCCAGGAATAATCCACAGGGGTCGGAAAGGTCAATGCTCAGGTGCTGGGGGTCAGGCACATAGAACAGGCCATGTGAGGTGTCTCTATGTCCTGCTGTGGACGACACTGACACTGAGAAGAGGTGTGGCCACACATTCTTCAGGAGGTGTGGCCTTGGAGGCAATACGCCCACTTAAAAGGCCACCTCAGATGTGTAAGTCACCCAGACCTGTGAGGCCTTGACAGGCGGTTGGGTTCAGGCCAGGCCCTCACTGGGGAACTCTGGGGCTGTGCTGCCAACAGAACTCTCGAAGACGGTGAGTATAAGCCACGGTTTTTCAAAGTGTTGTTTATTGAGTAGTTTGTAGCCATCGCCATGGGGGACCCTGAGAGGCAAGGGAGAGAGAACATTCTTGGACTCATCTCAGAGGTTGTGACACTGAGACCAAGGCAGGCTTCTGGTCATGGTGAATGGGGAGAGGTCAGAGACAACAGGCTCCTACGCCCACTCCACAGTCACACAGATACATCTCACAGTAGACCAGGGGACACAGGAGCGTTCCCTACCCACCTGGCTACTTCTTCCCACAGAGCCCTGAGAGGGCCATCACCTCACAGCAGCGGGGTGGCGGCGACTCCAGGCGCACTTATATGAGCACACACACACACACACACACACACACACACACACACACTGCACGCACACACACACACGCACACACACGCACACTCTCTCTCACACACACACGTACACACACACGCACACACACACACACCGCATGCACACACACACACGCACACACACACACACACCGCACGCACACACACACACACACGCACACTCTCTCTCTCACACACACGTACACACACACACGCACACACACACGCACACACACACCGCACGCACACACACACGCACACACACACACCGCACACACACACACGCACACACACACACACCGAACGCACACACACCGCACGCGCACACACACACACACACCGCACGCACACACACACACACGCACACTCTCTCTCTCACACACGTACACACACACACACGCACACACACACGCACACACACACACCGCACGCACACACACACGCACACACACACACCGCACACACACACACGCACACACACACACCGCACACACACACACACGCCGCACGCACACACACACACACACCGCACACACACACACACACACACGCCGCGCACACACACACACACACACCGCACGCACACACACACACCGCACGCACACACACACGTACACACACACACACGCCGCACACACACACGCACACACACGCGCACACACACACGCACACACACACACACCGCACGCACGCACACACACACGCACACACACCGCACACACACACACACACGCACACACACACACCGCACGCACACGCACACACACACCGCACACACACCGCACACGCACACACCGCACACACACACACGCACACGCACACGCACACGCACACACACACCGCACGCACAGAGCTCTGTGGCGAACAGCCCAGCGGCTCCCCAGCGGGCAACGCGCACCTGCTCACAAAACCTCAGAGCTCAGGTCATAACAGAGGCCCTGCAGGCCTTGACACTGGGAGCGGAACAGACATCCTAAGAGGCCCCCACCAGAGGCCCACTAGGCCAGGCGGGTGGCCGTCACCCCGGCAGCCTCACCAGGTGGCCTTCACTGCCTTGATGTCACTCACGAGGTTCTGGGCCAAGCAGATGCCAAATATCTGTAAGACAGAGCGCAGGTGAGGGAGAGCCCACGGCTTCGGGCAGGAGGAGGGGAAGCGAGGCAAGGCTGTACCTGGAGGAGGGCAACGCCCACCATGACCCCGGCCACCACAATCAGGTTGTCTTGCAGCCACTTCTCAAACTGGCCCACACAGCCTTTGGTGTAGATGGAGCCCTGCTGCTCAAGCTCCTGAGGACACACAGGGCCAGGCTCAGCCTGCCAGCCGTTGCCTGCCTCAGCCCAGGTCCACAGGCCCAGCCTGCCTGCCTCAGCCCAGGTCCACAGGCCCAGCCTGCCTGCCTCAGCCCAGGTCTACAGGCCCAGCCTGCCAGCCGCTGCCTGCCTCAGCCCAGGTCTCTTCCTCTTCTCTCTTCCCAAGCGCATCCCCATTCCAGTGTCTTCCCCAACGTCTGCTCCCTGGAATTCTGCCACAAGGCCCTCACACAGATGGTCCCCTCTCCCGGGGTCTTAGCCTGGCTCTCCGCTCTGAAGAGGCTTCCTCTGAGCACACAGACCCTACCTTATCAACCTCCCAAGTTGTCATGTCTGTCCATACCAATGTGTCTACACGTTCACTGTCTTTGAGTGCAGAGACAATGCATCAGCCCTGGCTCATCCATCCCAAGGTCGAGAGCAATACCAACCACAGCAGGTGCTCCACAGGGGTGGAATGAGCAGCCTGAGACCTTAGACCCACCCGGGGCCAGTTCCGCCCCTCAGAAGCCCTGAGACCTGCCCCGGGGAGTTTATGAGAGGCCACTAAGCCACCCTATATCCCAGGGCCCCCAACGCTGTCCCTGCCCCTCTCACCAGTTTGAGTCGGATGTCATAGCCACACTGGGTGTTGAGGACATCTTCCTGAGGGGGAGACGGACCATTAGCAATATGCTGAGGGAACACCCATGGCCTCACTGGGTCCTGAACGTCACGGAAGGGCAAACGGAAGCCTGGGTTTTGCCATGCCCACTCATCTCCTATGAACTGCAGACTTCTCAGCTCTCTCTCTCTCGGACACCAGGGCACAATGGCACCTCCCACTGCTCAGGGACCCCGCCTCCTCCCGTGGCCCCACTCACCGCAGGGTCCCTAACACAGCAGGAAAAGGGCACCCCACAGCGCTCACGGCTTGGGTTCAAGTCAGTGCAGTTGAAGTAGATGTTGAGGTTCCAGTCATTGGGCCCTCGGGCACCACAGCAAGACCACTAGGGAGACAGAAGAGTCTGTAGTTCAGGCCGACACAGCTGGCAACCAGGTCTAACCCTGGAGCTTCACCCACCCCCTGTTTGGGGCAAACCCAAAGGAGAGGGCGGGCGGGCTGGAAGGAGCAACCCCAGTCCCCCCAGCAGATAGGATGGAGCCCATAGGAATCAGAGTGCGCAGGTGACTCGGAGAGGAGAGACATTGCTTGAAGGCTGTGGCTTCCCCATGGATCTCTCTGAGGGGCAGGAGCAAGAGCAAGCCCCGAGGGGACAGAGGCACTGCAGACCCTGATGTCTGCACTAGGACTCTCCACACTCGCCCCAGAGATTTTGCAAAACCTTTACTGCAGGGACAGGAGAGGAAACCAGACAACTTTCCCATCCCAGCCCAGTCCACAAATGCCTGCTAGAGCCACGGTCCCCTCCCCAGACAGCCTCGCTAGCCTTCCCAGATGCCGCCATGGCAAGCCCAAGGCCGCAGCGCAAGACGCACAGTGTGTGACAGAGCAGAGCCCTGTGTGGACTGCGCCAGCTGCTGAGGAGCTGCCTGTGAGGGCTGGGGAAGCTCCAGGATGAGCAAGAGACAAGGGGCAGACACAGCCCTGAGAGAGGGCCGGGGGCAGACACAGCCCTGAGAGAGGGCCGGGGGCAGACACAGCCCTGAGAGAGGGCCGGGGGCAGACACAGCCCTGAGAGAGGGCCGGGGGCATGATGCCTGCCCATGCGGCTGTGTGTGCAGGACTCAGACGCAACTGGACCAGCACCTGCCCCAGCACCTGCTAAGCACCTGCTGGCCCTGCTGGGGACCAGTCCTGTTCTTCACACCACCCGCTTATTCTTTCCCTCCTCAAGGAGGCGTCAAGGGCACCATTCAGGGGCTTCCCTCTCTCCTTTCTCCATCTCAGCCCTTGCCACAGTGTGTCCCCCCCCACAGTGTGTTCTCCCCCCACAGTGTGTTCCCCCCACAGTGTGTTCTCCCCCCCCCACAGGGTGTCCTCCCCCCCACAGTGTGTTCTCCCCCCCACAGTGTGTCCTCCCCCCCACAGTGTGTTCTCCCCCCACAGTGTGTTCTCCCCCCACAGTGTGTCCTCCCCCCACAGTGTGTTCTCCCCCCACAGTGTGTCCTCCCCCCACAGTGTGTTCTCCCCCCACAGTGTGTTCTCCTCCCCCCACAGTGTGTCCTCCCCCCCACAGTGTGTTCTCCCCCCCACAGTGTGTTCTCCTCCCCCCAGTGTGTCCTCCCCCCCACAGTGTGTCCTCCCCCCCACAGTGTGTTCTCCTCCCCCCACAGTGTGTCCTCCCCCCACAGTGTGTTCTCCCCCCACAGTGTGTTCTCCTCCCCCCACAGTGTGTCCTCCCCCCACAGTGTGTTCTCCCCCCACAGTGTGTTCTCCTCCCCCCACAGTGTGTCCTCCCCTCCCCACACTTTCCCTGTTCTGTACGTTCATCATCATCTCCCAACGTCATCACCATCACGAAGAGAACAGGCCGCACACTTTAAAAACCCTGAATCTCCCCGCACCTGGCTCAGGGCCTGTCCTACTTCCATACTGAATAGAGACGGAAAGCACATGGGAACTTCGGGCTACATGGCTGCTTCTCCAAGGCCCTGCTGAGTCCCAGGGCCAAACCTTAATGAAGGTAACTGGGTGTGACAGGGAGTGGCCCTAATAACCTTGAGGACTGAAACGTACAGGTGGGAATGGTCTCATGGCTGTAAGTATAGAACTTGAAATTACAGACAGTGCACAATACTTGATGAGAATAAGCAACTATGCTCCAGCTGGAGAGACAGATCAGTGGTTAAGAGCACTGGCTGCTCTTCCCAAGGACACAGGTTCAATTCCCAGCACCCACATGGTGGCTCACAGCTGTCTGTAACTCTGGTTCCAAGAACCCAATGCCCTTTCCTGCACTCTTCAGGTACCAGGAACACACATGGTGCTCATAAACATATGTGCAGCCAAAACACCCATATACATAAAATAAAACTGAAAAAAAGAGACTAGGCAACTGATGTCTGCACAAGGGCAAATTCATCCAGCAATGAATTTCTCAGAGAGTCCCTGTCACCAAGCCTAAGTGGCTGTACTGGAAGAGAAAGAGGGCTGGCCGTTGTAGTTTTGTACAGAATCTGAGGTCCAGCAATGGGGCATCAGCATCACAGCCACTGCAGGCATTCTGGGCCCAGGCTGAGCAGAAAGAGAGACTTGCATTGTATGTTCCATGTCCTCCTCTGGCCACAGTTTCACACACCAGTGTCCCTACGGGGCTAGGCACAAGGAAGCCTAGGGGAATGAGCAGGAGCTGGCTTCTCCTGGGACAGGGGCTCTCCTCGGCTCATTCCTCCCCTAGCATCCGCTGGCCTGGGTAGGTGAGGAAGTGGTCTGTGCGCACAGAGAATTTGCTCCCTCTCCTGTGTGCCCATCAGGGATTGCGTGCATGGGGCGGGGTGTGTGTGTGTGTGTGTGTGTGTGTGTGTGTGTGTGTGCACTCATGATGGATGTTGCACTCACGTATTCCTGTGCAAAGTCAATGAGGTTCTGAAGGTCAATATCATCCCGGTAGGCTTTGACGTTGCTGTTGATGAAGAGATTGAGCTGGTCTCGAATCCAGTCTTTGAAGACAAAGGCCAGGATCCCTGCCGCCAGCTCCAGGAAGAAGATGAGGCCGAGGAACACAGAGAACTAGGTTGGGGGCATACAGACAGCAGGCATTGGATTGACCTGTCAGGGGGCTCCACAGGCAAGAGCTCCCCGCTACCTCCTCCAGGAATCGCAGGAGCCGCAGTCTCCAGCCTCTACCCATTCCCGGTGCTGCAGTGTGGAACCCAGAGCCCTGTGCGCTAGGCAAGCGCCCTACCACTGAGCTTGCCCCTGCCCTGAATTATCATTCTGTTGACAAAGACTGTGGGTTTACCTGTTCCTTGTCTGGTCACCATGCCCAGGCAAGAACTAACTGAATGGAAGGCAGTCAGGGGTCTCCAGTGTGTCTGGGGTGGAGAGATACTTACAAACTTGAGCAGGAAGGTGTTTTCCCGGAGGGCCCCAACACAGCCAGCGAAGCCCAGCACCGACATGACACCCCCGGCCACCACAAACAGCCACACAGGGTCAAGGCCGCCTAGATCTGTGAGCGCTGAGATGTTGGAGAGGACGCCCTGCAACAGGGGAGTGGACAGCGTGAGGGAGTGACTGCCCTCCCGCTTCACCCCCGAACCCCACTCTCTTACCTTCTCGCCCCAAGCCCAGAGGCCAATGGCCAGGAACAGGGCTCCCAGCACCTGCAAAAACAGCAAGAGGTCAGAGCTGGGCACCAGCACCAGGACGGACTCTTCCTCACACCCCGTCCTTGAAGGCCACCAGGAAGGTGAGGGAGAAGGGCCCAGGCTGTGAATGGGACTTGGTTATGTACCTACACATAAAGATACCTTTCAGGAACTCTTTCCCATAGGCTAGCTAGAGGAAATGGAGTCATCCCAAGCCCCAGACTGGACATCAGCGCCTTCCTAGACTCTCCAAGGACTCTCCACATAGAGCAGAAGCCTGCTGAAAAGCCCCCCCAGACTGGACATCAGCGCCTTCCTAGACTCTCCAAGGACTCTCCACATAGAGCAGAAGCCTGCTGAAAAGCCCCCTCAGACTGGACATCAGCGCCTTCCTAGACTCTCCAAGGACTCTCTCCACATAGAGCAGAGGCCTGCTGAAAGGCCCCCTGGCCCAGAAAGCATCTGGCCTCAGATGTACTTGTGCCTTGGTCTTGGTTTTGGTGTTTTTGAGACAGGGTCTCAACGTAGTCAAGACTGGCCTCCAACTCGCAAGGTAGCTGAAGATGACCGTGGGATCTTAGCCTTTTTTTGGGGGGGGTGCTTCATTCAAACCCCAGCTGAAGCCCACCACCCTCTCCAGCCTGGATATCTGCTCATTTGCTCGGCATTTCCTCTACTAGGGATAAGCACCACAGGGCCAAGAGCAGGGCTGGCTTCTTCTCTGGTATGCTCACAGGTACGCTAACAACTGCCTGGGTCACTGAGGGGTCTGAAACAGGAGAGGAGGTGTGAGGGTCTGGAGCCAGAGAGATGCCAGTGTCCCAAGCTGAACCTGCCATGGAGAGGAGGGAGGACGGGTGGTTAAGGCTGGAACCCAGGGTGAAGGGCAAAGATGGGGCAGAGGGAGACGGAGCAGGAGGCTGGGGAAGTTAGAAAAGGAGGAGGAGGAAAGGGGTTGGGCTGAACAGGGAGGGGTTTGGGAAAAAACAAAATGTTAGCGGATCTCTTGTCCAAAGATGAGATGATCAGATGGGATGGAGCCGGAGAAGAGATGCTTGGTTGTATGCCCCGAGGGCCCCCCCCCGTACCAGCACAGGAAGGGCATTTCCAGGGAGAATCCAGCATCGGACAGAACCCAGGACCAAGGAAGGAAAGGGTGGATGGAGGGGGGGGGGAGTAAGCAGTCTTACTCCACTCTAATGGTGTGTCCTCTTACAGACCAAGTGTCTAGGGAGCTGCCTGGGGTCAGGGATGAGAGGGTGGTTGGCCTTGACTGTCATGGCTCTCCAAACAAGGAATTGAGGCAAGATAGTTTGAAGGACTGAGTGGTGCAGGGAACACAGGCTGCCCAGATGAAGAGTCTGTTGGTGTCCAGATGGCCCAGGTAGAGCCAGGAAGAGCTGCACAGGACTATAATCCCCACACTTGGGGGTGGGGCATCAGGAATTCAAGGTCCCAGACCCCTCCCCATTTCCTCTGTCACCCTTGCATATAGCTGCAGCCAGCTAGATCTGACCCAGTTCTGCTTGACGCTGCCCCAGCACAAAACCTCAATGCTCACCCACCTTCACTCCCCAGCCCAGACTCCGGAACAAAGCAAGACTTCGTGCCCGCCCCCCAGCCTGGCCATGAACACACAGAGTCACTGCTGACTCCTACCTTACCTCCAGCCACTGATAAGCATCTGCTGCTCTCAGCAAATGACTTAACCTCTTGGTGTCTATTCATTCAATTCCCTATCTGTAACTATAGATAATAACAAGGTGGTTGGAAGAATGTGCCTCATTAGAACTCCTTTAATATGAAACTCGGTGTGATGGCTCACACCTGTAATCCCAGCACTCTGGAAGCTCAGACAGAAAAACTGCAGCAAATTCCAAGCCAGGATGGGCTACAGGGTGAGACCCTGTCTCAACAACAAAAAGTATTATTTAGTCTAACAACCAAGAAGGACAAACTCCTATACCACCCACTCCTAGGCTGGAAAGCTGAGGCCCAGAGAGTAAAGGTGTCTTGCCCCAAAGCCTCTGGACAAGGCCTGCTACACTCAGGTCCTCTGAGTTCCAGGGCAATGCTCCCGGCAGCTGCCCATATCCTCCAGAGCGGACAGCTGAGATCCAAGGGCACCCACCACAGGGCAAAACCAGCAGCACGTGGGTGAGCAGAGTCCTTGAACCCGGTTGCAAACAATCTGGGAAGGCCTGGTGTGAAGGAGAGCATGCCTTGGTGACAGGAGGAAGCAAAGAAAGATGACTTGGCAGGCCAAGACACAGATGCTACCCTGGAAGGGAAACCTCTGTCCCAGCAGCTATGGAAGGCTGAATTCTGTGCCCCAGGGACAGCTCCCTGCAGCCCCAGAGGCCCTGGCTTTTGTTCACTTCCTGCCCTCCTGGCTCACAAGCTTCTCGTCCGTCCGTGGAGTAGACTAGGGCTAGGACCCAACCTCACGCACCACTCCGGAGCTGGAGTGCCCAGGAGGCGGGGCGGGGCTCATCCCGCAACTACCGCGCCCTTGCGGTCTTCCGGCAAACGCCGCCTCTTTTTCGCCCAAACTTGGGGCTGCAACGCAAGATTCCCAAACCCCCTCTGCTGGGACTGGGTCCCGCCCCCCAGTAATCCCAGTAGCTTCCCCCCAGAATAGTTCTTGGGGACTGGGAATCGGGATGGAAGGAGTCGGGGAATAGTTCCCGGTCGCAAGCTCCTGAGGAGGGTCTCCCCCTCCCCAGAAACTGAGGCTGCCTCAACCCCTCCCCAGCGCAGGGCACGAAGCAGACCCCGCGCTCACCCAGAAGACAATGTTGAAGCCAAACAGGAAGTATTTCCCGCAGCAGCCGACTTCAGGGTCCTGAAAATGCTGGTGCTTGCCGGGCATGGTGAGTGGTCACTCGCCGCCCCGGGAACCGGAGCCGGGGACCGGCTCAGCCCTCTGCGGGCAGCCCAGGCCAGGAGCCGCCCCGGGCCTAGCCCGGCGGCTGCGGCTTCATGGCCGAGGCCACACAGCTCGCCGGCCGCCCGGCCCGCCGTGGCACCGCCCCCGGCGCTGGGGCTGCCACACCCTGAGTGCGGTGCCCTCATCCGACCCCGCCTCCGCATAGCGCTCCGGCCCCGCCCACGGAGTCAGCCCACGCCCCTCCCCGGCAGGGGTCCGCCTTCGTGGAGCTCCGCCCATGCCCGCGACCCCGCCCCCATCCGGGTTTAAGATCCCAGGCTCTGTCCATGTCCAGCCGCCGTCCTCCCGAAATCCCGCCCACTCCCGCCCAAGACTCCGCCCCTATCCCACCGCCTCTAAATTGGATTCCGCCTCTGGTCCGCCCAGACTCCGCCCCCAATCGGTCTGGGTTCTTCTGGAGCTCCACCGTAATCAGCTTCAGTTCTGAGCCACGCTCCTCCTCCTTGGAGCCACGCCCCAGACTTCGTTCACCCCATCCGCTGCTCCTCAGAGGGCTCACTGCTCCCCATGGTCCTGTTTCTGGACCGTGGTTTGACTATACCTCCATCCAGACCAACCCCACCTCTGAGGAACCCCCACTCTCCATCTCCTTCCGACCTGCATCGCAGCAAGGGTCTCCAGAGGTTCCAGATGAGCCGGCCCCCGCCCTCCCCCGCCGCAGTGCTGCTGATGGAGTGTGAAGACCCTGGACCTCCAGTCTAACCAAGGCTCAGGACCAGTGGAGTCCATCCCCAGGGATGAGCGGTTGGGATGGCGGGACCAGTGAACACCGAGTTGAGTACGAACACATCACGACCTGGCACTGGAGTGCCATGCCTGTTCCGTTTTTGCCTAGTCCGATCATAGCCCCTTCCCATACCGACTTGGGGCTTTCTCTGGTTTCCTTGGTACCTGGGACTCACTGGACAGGGCAGATCCAAATTTAGGGAAGCCTGGATCTTAAATATTTAGAGTCCACGTTTAGTCCAAAGTATTTATTTAGAACAAATACAAAAAAAAAAAAGCACAGAGACGCGTTGGCCACGGGATTCTCCTGTCCTCCCTCGTGTGGCGGGTTGAGCCAGAACTTTCCTTCACCCTGCCTTTGCCAAATGGCCACACACAGAGTTAGAGATCAAGTGTGGCTTGTAAGTATTGGCCAGATGCCACAAGGCCTAGGCCGGACACATGATGAAGAAAACCAGTATGAATCCAGACACAATGTGAGCCCCTGTTACCCCAGTCATTTAGCCTGGAGCAGGAGGACATCTCAAGCCCGTAAATGTGAGGCTAACCTGGGCAACATAGTGAGACCTTATCTAAGGGGTGGGGTGCTCATCTGTACTCTAAGGCGCGTGGAGAATCAAGCTGTCTGCCCAGGATCCCCAGTACAGTCTTCCCATTCACCAAATGGCAGTAAGAGGGTGTCGGGCGAGGGGGGGCTGAAGTCGGCCTCACACCACAAACTTGTTCTTGGCTAAAGAGTTGCTCTTGGCAGCAGTGTCCGCATGGGCCTGGTACCCAATGATGGTCTTCGAGGAGAGGCCCAGACGCTCTTTGTACACGTGCCTGGAGTGGGAGACGGGAAAGGCTCCTGGTTCCAGCCTCACAGATAAGACCAGCACCCACACAACCCTTGGGTGAAAATGAAGTCTTTAGTTAAAGTGGCTTGGGTCCACATTCCTAGCCCTTTTATAGGAATGGCTAAGGAAGAGCCGGTAGAGAGAGTTCCGGAGGCCTCCTTGCAGGCCAGGCCGCCGAGCCCACGAGCCCCCAGAACCCGTGCAGGGAGGGCGCTCACCCAATGTGCATCACTCCCGCTTGGTTCTCTGCTTCACTTGTCCAGACAGCGATCTTGTCCCCCTTGGTGCGGATGTTGACAACAGCTCCACAGACCTCCTTGCTGTATCTCTCGAAACTCTCCCCAAGCAGGCAGAGCAACTGGGCCCACAAGGGGGGTGGTAAGTGCCCCTGCTTGGGTGCAGGGTCCGCCCCACCAGCTTTGAGACCACCCGAAGGCCCGCGCCAGCACCCTTTCCCGAACTCACTGTCTCCAGCCACAGACGGTCCAGTTCAATGTGGCGCTGCTGTTTCGCAAGACTGAGCAGCCAGCGGCCACCCCGCTTGTTCCTGTTGTCTTCCCACATGGGCCGGATGCCTTCCTGTGGGGAGCGGCAGAGCCTTCCTTTGTTTCAAGGGAAGCGGGCACCAGGCTCCCTCTGCACACAGCCTTGTTTGTTCCGTACCCAGGCCTTACCCAGGCTTGCTTCTCTCTCTACAGCCTCTCTGCACAAAGTGCTGCCACCGATCACTCAGCCCCCCCCCCAGGCCCCTTCCAAAACCCTGCAAGCTGCTAAGCCTCCTTTTACCACCTTCGCAACCTTATCTGTGTGCTTGTCGCCTCTACTGAACAGGGTGCCTCTGGGTCAGAATTTCTGTGGGCTAGGGTGGACATCCCAGGCTTGGCTGTGTGGTCCCCACACCTTAAGACCCTCCTCCCTCCAGACTCAAGCATCCATAGCTGTCCATGCCCCAGTCGTCCGTGAGGGGAAAGCCCTGGAATGAGTCCCTTGAGCAGAGCCTACCTTAAACAGAGCATAGTCACAGCCGGAAGAGAGCTTACTGGCCAGCTTGATATGGCTGTACGTCCTGGAAAGACCCACGCAGAGTTCAAGGCTTTGCAGCACATGGCTGACCTGACCCTGACTGTCCAGCTTCCTCATCAGAACTACCCTCCCATCACCTGCATCCTTTCTCCGGGGGCCTCCCCACGCCTCCACACACACCACTGGGATCCTCCAGCCTGGAATCCCTTCTCTGGGAACCTGACCCAGCTAAGAAAGCCTGATGGGAGTCCACACCAGTGGGGCACTCCAGCTCGGCATCCTTGAGTTTATGTGGCCTTTCTCGGCTTCCTTCTCTGGCACATAAACACCAAAGCAGCTGCCTGCTCCTCACTATGGCTGAGCCCGTTTACCAGAGAGAAAGAGACCTGCTCAGGGTCATAAAGCCACAAGATGGCAGGCTTCACCTCTGCTTCTCCCAAGCCTGAGTTCTCCCTAAACCCAAGAAGCTTTTTTTTGGGGGGGGCGGGAGGGATCTGGCCAGAAACTGCCAACCCCCAGCTGCCAGCAAATGTTGACAAGCCCCTGAGAAGGTGGCAGGCTGGGATGCCTTTGACCCCCAGCTCAGAGCCCCTGAGGACACTCACGACCAGAATTCCTCCACGGTGTTAAACGTGGTGACTAGCTGCAGATTGTCCTGCCAGGGCCGGCTTCGGTCATTCTTGAAGAACCACAGAACCCACCTGGGGAATGAGGAGAAAGGAGGGTCAAGGCGCCATGCCCAGCTCTGCAGCACCTGCGTTAACAAGTGTGTGAGGCAGGGGTGAGATCTGGGGGACACAGCCCCCAAAGACATGGGAAGTCGGTTATCTCCTGGTGAGAGGGTATTTAAATAAACAATCCACCGAGGGCTGTAGAGGCCTCAGTGGTTAAGAGCACTGGCTGCTCTTCCAGAGGTCCCGAGTTCAATTCCCAGCAACCACATGATGGCTCTCAACCATTATAGTGAGATCTGGTGCCCTCTCCTGGCCTGCAGGAAGACAGAGCACTCAGATACATAAATATTTTTTTTTAAAAAAGCCGGCTGAGTGGGAGGCAGGGTTCAAGGGTCTCGGGCAGCTCAAGCGGCACAGACTCTGGCCTCACACAGGGCTGTGTCTCTGTGGCCTCCCTACCTGTACTGCAGGGGGTGTTGCTCTCTTGGGACCTCGAGGGGGCATTCTCTGTGGTCCTTCTTCCTCGGAGTCTGAAGGGGTCCAGGAGGGTCACTGACTTCTTCTCCTGGGGGGACCTCCACACCCGCTTCTGACGGCTTTTCTTTCTCCGCCTCCTCCTTCCGCTCTCCAGCCTCAGCTTTCTCAGCTCTGATCGTCTGACCAGAGTAAATAAAAATGAGCCGGGGCTGGGGCACCCCTTTGATCCCAACACTCTCTCGGGAGGCAGAGGCAGGCAGATCTCTGTGAGTTCAAAGTCAGCCTGGTCTACAGAGCGAGTCCCAGGACAGCCAGCTACACAGAGAAACCCTGTCTTGAAAATTTAAGAAAAAGTGATCCGTAAGCCCTGGCTCTGGCTGACCCCAGCTAGTCAGTGACACTGGCATAGGCGGGTGGGAAGACTCACAGCATCTGAAGTGGCCATGATAGAAGTGGCCAGGACAAGGATCCACCAGCAGCTGAGAGGCCCACGGGGCCTTGATTTTAACCCGGCAGAGAACCCAGTCCCACCTGGGCAGACAGGTGGGTGGAGGAGCGTGTGAGGATTGGGTAGGGTGGGGTGGGTTAGGGATTTACCGGCATCCTTCAGTTAGAAGGTAAGTGCTCGTCCTCTGCACAGCTGTGGCTAGAAAAGCTCATTGGGCAGCGGGTGGAACTCAAGAGAACTGACACTTAAAAGGCATCATTTGGGGGCTGCTCTTAGGGTATTTGGGACCTACAGAGGGAATCCTGACTTTGACGCAGGCTGTTCTGCAGATGGACAGAGGTAACAACATTTACATAGCATCCCCACCCCCACCCCGGTTCCATTTCCGCCTGCAGTCTGCACCTTTGATATCATCCAGTGGCACTCATCTGGCTCTAGAAGCTGCTGAGTTTTGTGTTTTGTTTCATTTTGTTTTTTAAGTCACTGAACAGTAGTGCATGCCTGTAATCATCTGGGCGATAGAAGCAGGAGGATCAGGAGTTCAAGGCCACTCTCAAGTACTAAGGGAGTTTGAGGCTGGCTTGAGCTATAAGCCAACAAAAGGGTAGCCATTTGTTAACATTTAAAGACAGCAGGCTTTCTGGGTGGTGGTGGCGCACGCCTTTAGTTCCAGCACTCAGGAGGCAGAGGTAGGTGGATCTCTGTGAGTTCGAGACCAGCCTGGTCTACAAGAGCTAGTTCCAGGACAGCCTCCAAAGCCACAAAGTAAACCCTGCCTCAAAACAAAACAAAACAAAAAACTCAATAAAGGCTACAGGCTTTTGTGTTAAAAGCTGCACTCACTCCTGATTTGTCCTGAGAATCTGGAGGGTTTGCACCCTGAGGCCCTCCACCTTGTGGGGTCCCCACCCACTATGGCATGGCCCTCCTTGCCTCATGCCAAGAAAACTCCTCTGAGTGTTTCTCACCTGGACCATCACTGGTAAGGCACAGTGCCACAGTCCCAGCATGTTTAAGCCCTTCCCTGCACTGATCCAAGTTACTGAACCCCTGGAGCCTCATTTCCCCCATTTTGCAGACCAGGAGATCAATATATGACTCAGAACTGCACGTGAGGCCTGGAGAATCCACTGCTCAATGGACATCAGGTGAAAGCTCTGTCCTAGCAGGGGAGGGAACCAAATGAGACGGGGAAGATAAGAAGCCAAGCTTTGCAGCCTCCATATTCTCAAAAGGTTGCTCAGCCTCCTCTCACAGAAGGTGCCGGGTGGAATGATCAACTTGAGGCTGACAGTCCGCTCTTGTCAACCCATCACTCTAACCACACCACCGTACTTGGCCACGAGGCTAGGTACTGGCATGCAAATGGGCATCAAATACTCGGGTGGAGCTGAACAGCCCTGGGTTCCAGCCCAAGCCACACCCTCTGTGCTGGGGTCTGGTGGGAACGAGGCTTGTCTGTGACCTTGAGCACAGACCTCAGTCCACACCAAGGCAAGCTTCTGCCAGGAAGGGCTGGGAGGAGGAGTCTAGGATCTGACCCGGGCCTTAGAGAGGTGTGGGTCTTACATGCATGATCAGAATTGACTGCTGGGGGCTGACACTGTGGCCCAGCAGGAAAAGGCATTTGCCTCCAATTTCCTGAGGACTGAGTCCCTACCCAGATGGTAGAAGTAGAAAATCAGCTTCCTTAAGTTGTCTTCGGATCCCGAATGATGGTGTACACATGCCCACCCACGTGCACGCACATACACACTTTAAAAATATTTTTTATTTGTCGGGCGTTGGTGGCACACACTTTAATCCCAGCATTTGGGAGGCAGTGGCAGGTGGATCTCTGTGAGTTCGAGGCTAGCATGGTCTACAGAGTGAGTTCCAGGACAGCCTCCAAAACAATACAGAGAAACCCTGCCTTGAAAAACAAAAAACAAACAGCGTTTTTATTTAAAGACAACTGGGGTCCTGCTCCCAGGTTTCTGGTTGCTTCCATCTGAGTTCAACCTGAAGATTTTCATTTCTGATTAGTTCATTTGGAAGTCCTTTGTGTCTGGGAAGGCACAGCCCACATGTTTGTGGCTCAGAAGCAGAGAAAAGTGAACGTGGAGGCTCAGATGGCCTCCTCCTTTTCTCTTTTTCTTCAGTCTGTGACCCCAGGCTAACCCACAGAATGGTGCTAGCCTTCCTCTCTCAGCCAAGCCTCTCTGGGAATGACTTTACAGACACACTCAAGGTATAACTCACTAATGCCTTCTTAGATGCTTTTTAATCCAGCTTAATAGGTAATCAAAATTAAGCGCCACAAAGCTGGGTGTGACAGCACGCGCCTTTAATCCCAGCAGAGGAAGGAGGATCTCTGAGTTTGAGGCCAGTCCAGTCTACAGAGTGAGTTCCAGGACAGCCAGGGTTACATAGAGAGACCCTGGAGTGGGGAGACCTAACCAACATAGCCGGGTTCTCAGACTACTGCCCAAGACAGTAACCATGAAAAAATAATTAGGAGGACACCCACCAGGATGTTAATGTGTGCCATTTGGAAGAGGTAGCAGAGAAGATGAAGAGGTGATATGTCAAGGAGTATTGCAAGACAAGAGGACAACAGCCCATTTTCCTATTGCCATGTAACACAGCCAGGCCTAGTGACCTGTAACAGTAAGAATCACTTACTATGCTTGCAGATCTGTAGTGCCTGTGGGGTCAGCTCAACTCGGCTCCAAAGCAAGAGAGGCTAGGCTGGCTCACATCTTGGGGCTGAGGCATCTGTCACTCACATAGGGTAGCTAGTGCAGCTGTCAGCAGGGACCTCAGCTCTGTGTGGCTGCTCAGCTTTCACAGTGTGGTGACCAGGTTCCCAGGGCAAACATTCCCAAAGACAGGAAGCAGACCTGGCCAGAGGCGTCAGGTTCAAGTTTGAAACCTGGTTCACCCTTAGGCCTGCTGTGTTACCCTCAAGTGCAAGGATGTAAATTCAAGGCAGGGATAGAGCCCTTCAAGGACACTGTGGGATGCCTAGGCCCAGGCAGCCTTGAAGGAGGCCCAGGCAGGGACAATGCTATAGATCTTTATTTGATGGACCAAGGGAGACTCTCTCTCCAGGGCTGGGCATGGTCTCAGCTACATCAGGGAGAGCCCTGGCCCCTCCCTGGCACAAGATGGCTTCCAGGCATGACCCAGGCACAACAGCACCTTCTGCAGCTCCTGGAGTCAGGGTTTGTGGTGACTAGGGAGAGGTCCCTGGGTCTGCTGGGAATCTGGCTCTTTGCCAATGACAGCCTGTCTTTAGGGAGCAGCTAAGTGGGTTAACAAGCGGGGACTCTTGAACCCCAGCACTGTTCTGAAATTTGTTTTCTTTCTTTTTAAAACTTTTACTTCATTTGCATTTGCACTTTTGGTCGGTCAGCGCCATGCTATGGGTTTTTTGTTTTTGCTTTTGTTTGGAAAGCTTGAGCCACCCGGGTATTCTAGTCCCTCCATGACAGACGTTTCCAGCCTTTGTGGGTCACAACCCTTTGGGGTCACATATCCTGTATGTCAGATATTTACGGTATGATAGTTATGAAGTAGCAATTAAAGGTGAGGAGATGTGTTAAAGGATTGCAGCATTAGGAAAGTTGAAAGCCACTGCTCTCTGCTAACCACCCCTCTCTTTAGATTTCCTTATCCTCTGTCAGTTTGCCTGTCAGGGTCTGTGAATAAGGACCTGGAGGGGGGCAGCCTGTCCTAGAATCAAGAGTCTGTGTGTCGCTGCAGGAAGAGGCAGGTAAAACCCAACCTGGACCAAGACACAGACAGTCCTGTGTGTCTGGATGGGTGATTGACCCATCCCAAGGAGGCCCCTGTGCCTTGATGAGGGTGAGAAAGGACGGTCTGCAGGACTGTGAGACGTGTGGGAAGGGGGGGGATTAGGGGACTAAATCGATGGCTGACCGGTTAAGAGCACGGGCTGCTCTTGCAGAGGGCCCACAAAGCTAACAACCATCTGTAACTCCAGTACCAAGGGATCCAATGCCCTCTCCTGGCCGCCTCAGGCACTGCAGGCATGTGGGGCACAGACAAACATGCAGGCAAAACTCACACACACAAGATACAAATAAATCTTTTTATAAAGGCACGTCGAGTATATTTTTAAATGTTTTAACTGCTTTTTTTAAAACTAAAAGAATGTATTACACTGGGAGTAGGGGCACATATCTTTAATCCCAGCACTTGGAAGGCAGAGGCAGGCAGACCTCTATGAGTTCGAGACCAGCCTGGTCTACAGAGTGAGTTCCAGGACAGCCAAGGCTACATAGAGAAACCCTGTCTCAAGAAACAACCAAACAAAAACATTGCATTACAACTATTTAAATTCTTTTACCATTTACTGATTGGCCTTTGTTGCTGTGTGTGTGTGTGTGTGTGCGTTACTTTTATATTGCTGTGAAGAGACACTATGATGAAGACAACGTGTATGAGGAGGCATTTAATGGGAGTTTATCCTTTCAGAGTGTGAGTCCATGATAACCTCAGCAGGGAGCAGAGAGCAGGGGGGCAGGGGGGGCAGGGGAGCAGGGGAGCGGGGAGCGGGGAGCAGGGCAGCAGGGCAGCAGGGCAGCAGGGCAGCAAGGAGCAGGGGAGCAGGGAGCAGGGGAGCAGGGGAGCAGGGAGCAGGCAGGCATGGTGCTGGTGCAGCAGCTGAGAGCTCACAGCTAACGCACAAGCATGAAGTGAGTGAGAGAGGGCTAACTGGAATGACCCAGACTTTTGAAAGCTGAAAGCCCGTCCTCAGGAACACGCCTCCTCCAATAAGGCCACGCCCACCCCAACAAGGCCACAGCCTCCTAGGCCTTTCCAAACAATTCCACAACTTGGGCCCAAGCATTCAAATGTGTGAGCCTATGGAGACCGTTCTCATTCAAACCCCACAGTGTGTGTGTGTGTGCACGCGCACATGTATCCACAGGTCAGTTTGCAGAGATTGAACTCAAGTTGTCAGGCAAGCAAGCACCTTTATCCACTGAGTCATCTCACTGACCCTGCATTTTTTACTAGTTTGTTTGTAGTGGGGAGTAGTGTAAGCGAATGAGCACACCACACACACGTGGAAGTCAGAGGACGGCTTGTGGCAGCTCTTCACCATGTGGGTGTGGGGATCAAACTCACGTCACCAGGTTTGGCAGCAAGCACCTTTACCTGCTGGACCACTCATGGTCCCTCTCTCAAGTTTTGAATTTTGTGATATAATATTATTTTACGGTGTGTGACTTTTGTTTATGCTGCATTTGTTTAACTCTGTGAAGCTGTGTTACTGTGCCTGTCTGAAACACCTGAAGGTCCTAATAAAGATCTGAACGGTCAATAGTGAGGCAGGAACAAGGATACGTAGGGCCGGCAGGCCGAGAGGATAAGAGGCTCGGGGAGGAACGAGAGGGGGTGGGGGGAGGACGTCAGGGGCCACCCACAGAGTAAGAAGAAAAGTACGATATATAAAAGTAAGAAAACTAAAAGCCCAGAGAAAAAAAAGAAAGACAGGCTAATTTAAGTCAAGACAAGCTAGCTAAAAACCAGCCAAGCTGAGGCCAGGCATTCCTAACTAAAATAAGCCTCTGTGTGTGATTTATTTGGGAGCTTGGTGGTGGGCACCTTAAAAAACAAAAAGCCAAAAGAGTAAAGATAAAAGATTCACACACCTCCCTGTGTGATAGAAACTCCTCAGCCACCACTGCGCGCTCTCTGTCTGTCTGTCTGTCTCTCTCTCTCTCTCTCTCTCTCTCTCTCACACACACACACACACACACACATCTGTACCCCTAATACACTATCAGTTTTATTAATTTAAGTTTCTTAGTGTCTGCACTTTTCCAGCAGAAGAGAGCAGTTGACGCGAGATTTAGCAAGGTGGACGTCGCCATTGATGCTGACAAGAGGAACACGATCCCAGTACCATATGCAGCTCTGTTCACTTGAGATCTCTTCTCCCTGCAAGAACGTGGGTGTCCTCTCACCTTGTTAGCTGAAGCTCCCGTACCCGATGGACACCCAGGAGACACTGGGTACAGGGAGACTGGCCAGTGACATATTTGTGGGCAAGATTGTCAACTGATAGAGTCTGGAATGACCTAGGAGACAAACCTCCATGCTGCCTGTGAGGAAGTTTCTAGATCTGGTTAATTCAGGTGGAAAGAAACTCCTTACATGTGGGCAGCACCATTTGATGTGCTGAACTGAAGAACAGCTTCCATCTCCTTGCTGTGGACACAATGTAGCTGCAACCTCAAGCAGCCATTGACATGCCTTCACCACCGTGATACACTGTACCTTAAACTAACTTACAAAGTAGAACTTTAGTCCGGCACGGTGGCACAGCCCTTTAACCCCAGCACTCATGAGGCAGAGGCAGGTGAGTCTCTGCAAGTCTGATCCAGTCTAGCTGCATAGTGGGACTTTATCTCAAAGCAAAAGAAAAACAACAAAGCCCAACGATCGTTCCATGTCTTCCTGTTTCCTGCAGTGTGAGGTGCAAACTCTTCATCCCTGTCTCTTCTTCTCTTCTCCCTCTTGGCACCCCCTCCTCTACTCCTTATTTTACTGGCATGCAGAATTCTGAGCGCAGACCACAGAAGCCCTGCGGCTCATCGAAGCACCTAAGGCACCTGTGACCAAACACCAGGCAGCTCCGTCTCTGGGAAGGCGACCCTGCAGCCTGGAGTGATGCTAAACCCACTGCTGAGCGACCGTGTGGCCCGGAGTGATGCCGAACCCACCGCTGAGCAGACTGTGAGGGCTTTCAGGGCACCAGGGCTCCGGGCAACGTCTCCCTAGCTGGGGGAAACAGCACACACAAGAGAAAGGTGAAGAAACAAAAGCCCCTTCCTTGAGCCTGCCCCCTTTGGGCCTCACTTCCCGGGAGCACTTCAGTGCATGGTGGTGTGCCTGTGGTCCTGTGTTTCTCTGGCTACGAGTGTATACAAACAACCTTTGGTATCCTCAGAGTTGATTCCGGCCAGCGCCCACAGCCCGCACTGGAGTCAGTAGATGCTCAGGGCCTCGTGTGTAATGTCACGGCACTGCTCTCGGGTTCGCCCACCTTTGCAGGCTGATCTTCCTGGAGGACTCCTAAGACCTGACACCATGCGGTGCTGGGCAACTGCTGCTTAAAAGGCAATGGCAAGACTTGTATGTGTCCGGCATAGATAGCGTTTGTTTTCACAAATTTTCTTCTTCTTTAAAATGTGATTTGAAAGTTTGTATCATGCTTACATATGTGGGTCTGCACACGTGAGCACACTGCCTGTAGAGGCCAGAAGATTCCCCTGGGGCTGGAATTACAAATGGGGGTGAGTGGTCTTGTGTGGGTGCTGGGAATTGAACTCTGGTCTTCTGGATCACTCACTGGATTCCCGCGCCATCTCTCCAGCTGGTCTTCTGGATCCATTGTTGGTTGAATCTGAGGATGCAGAACGCTTTGATAGGGAAGGTAACTGTATGTGTATGTCTGTACTGAACGTGTCTGTATTTAATACATGTAGTATGTGACATATGCATCTAATGTGTACATACTGGTGCTTACATATAACACATGCATATTGCTATACAGAAAGCTGTTCTTACATGTAACTTATTAAATATGTAAGTATGTGATGTAATTTTCTGTGTCCCCAAGTTAGCTACAAGCTTTGCGCCCTGCTTCTCGTTAACGCTACGTCTTCTTTCATTAGCGTGTCGGTACACAAGGGTCTGGCTCATGGTGCCTCACATCATCAGTGTGCCACTGGGCGGATGTGCTGAAAGGAAGTAGCCAGACCTCTAGGAGGACGGTTGGAACACCGCCGTGTGTTCTACAATGCACACGTGTCAATGCACTCATGGGGATTTGCGGGGTGAGCTCCTGATCCAACAGAGTGTGCACTCCCGAGAGACGCTGCCAAACTGGCCTTCTAAAGGCCTCCGCCAGCCCGCAGTCCTGCCCTGCTGCCTGCAGCCAGCACACCTTACCTCATCACTGCTCTCTCGAACACCCACACGTCTGCCACCACTGTCTCTGCCTGTGTTATATCCCCAGCTTAAAACACCCCTCCGTGCTTGTTCCTGAGGGAAAACCTTACCCATCCTGGGAGCCCCACACTCAGCCCCACCTCCTTTTCGCCTATTCCTCTGACTCCCTGACCTGGCAGGGTCCCTTTCCTCGGGAATTCCACACCCGCAGGGACACAGTTCCATCACAGAACGGACCCAGGTCCAATTGTGCCTCTGGCATCCCCACCCACAACTATACTCAAAGGTCTGTGTCCGCTTCTCTTCAGCTCCCTTTCTAGGTCACGATGCCTCCTGGCTGCCCCTCGGTGTGGTAGCCTCTAGCCTTTGCACTTGAAGGTCGGGCTCTGTGGATTACCTTCTCCCGGATTTCTACTCCAGGTCATTTCTTTGCAGAGGCCTTTGTTGTCTACCAACCCTGCCTCAAGCAATCGCCGTCTTCCTGTCACCTCTCATAGTGAAATAACCCTGTTTGCTTTGAGTGTGGATGCATTGCCTTTGTTTCCTACCTATCTCTGCGTGGGCCTCTCCCTGAGGTCAGAACCTTGGTCCTCTTTCCCAGTCTCCACCCTTGAACCTGCACCACACATCCGAGCGAGGCCCAGACAGGCATTGACTCCCTCCTTGGTTTCCCAGAAGACCTACCTGGCGATTCAAAGGGAGAGCTAAGCGGTGGGAACAGTTACTAACAAACGCGGCTAGGATTCCGATCTACCCGAACTCCCAAGCCAATGGCATCATTTCCTCCCACTCCTCTCTCGCAGCATTGCCCCCTCCCACGCTCCCCAAAGACTATGTCTCAAGCTCCAGGGTCCCCGGCTGCACGTCAGAGGCCCTCCCCTGGAGGTTGCTTGCTCTAGGGAGATGTCATCCTCCCCGCCCCCTGTCAGTCAGGCGGAAGGGGCGGCGCGGCCACCAGGGGGGGTGCTGAGCTCAGAGCTGCCGCAGCGCCTGAGCAGGAGCCGGAGCTGAGCCTGAGCGCGGGAGTAGCATCCTTGGTGGCAGCGCACCCAAGACCGGTGCACCGCTGCGCTTCTGCTCAGGGCGGGTGACGCGAGCGAGCGCTTGACCACGACCGGACCCCACTGGCCCCGAGCCCAACCCTGCCCGGCACAGCCCAGCCCCGGCGTCTGCTCGCCGCTGCCGCCACCACAGCTCCATCCCCAGCCCGGCCCCAAAACCCAGGTGAGGTGCAAGGATGGGGATCAAACCGAGGGTCCAGAGGGGCCGAGGGTGAGGTGAGGAAGGGAACTGAGACTGCGTTTGGGGGAAACGTGGGCACGGAGGTAGGAAGCGCTGGGCAGACGCGGGCAGGTGCCCTGCGGGATGCGTGTGTCTGTCCTCTCCGATTGCTACAGTCTGGGTGGATGTGCGGACGTGCATCCGTGCCCGTGTGTCAGAGCGTCCGTGCGCTTCTGAACGCCTCGTGTCCTGTGTGTGCACGTGAGCGTGTCCATGGTGTGTGTTTGTATGCAGACTGTGTGACTGTCGTGTGTACAGAAAGGCCCGGGTGTTCGTGCTGAGCCCAGCTTCCGGTTCTGCGGGCCTGCAGGTTGCAGATCTCCGGATAACCGAGATGGTGGCCCCTCCCGCATCCCGGGGTTTCAAGGACGCTAGGACTCACCGCAGCATGGCCCTGAGGCCTAGAGCTGGGGAGTGGAGTGGGTAGGAGGGGGTTCTGGGTCCAGAAGCGCGCCAATTCTCAGGGATGGAGGGAGGGGACACCACATCCCCCGGGAGGGCCAGAATGAGGGTGTGGAGCCGGCTCCTGGCACTTATGTGTTCACCCTCCCCAGGCCGCCAGGATGGACGTGTTCATGAAGGGCCTGTCCATGGCCAAGGAGGGCGTTGTGGCTGCAGCTGAGAAAACCAAGCAGGGGGTCACCGAGGCAGCAGAGAAAACCAAGGAGGGCGTCCTCTACGTCGGTGGGCAAGGGGCTGCAGGGGCTGCAGGGGGGTGCAGGGGGCTGCAGGGGGTGCAGGGGGCTTCAGGAGGCTGCAGGGGGTGCAGGGGCTGCAGGGGCTGCAGGAGGCTGCAGGGGGCTGCAGGGGGCTGCAGAGGGGTGCAGGGGCTGCAGGGGGCTTCAGGAGGCTGCAGGGGGTGCAGGGGGCTGCAGGGGGGTGCAGGGGCTGCAGGACTGGGTGTCTCCTGGGTATCAGGAAGGGTGCTCAGAGGAATTGAGGGGTCTGGGCGTGGGAATATGAGTCAGCAGATGGACGAGGTCAGTAGGGGTCACTGGGGACACAGCTAGCTTGTGGGATCGACCAGGGGGAGGTGGGGACAGGGTGAGAGCTATTGAAGGTGGGGTCCGAATGAAAGCCCAATGGAGCGTGAGCGTCAAAGTTCCCTTCTTCTTAGCCTGTCATCACTATTAATAGTGGCCTGATGGGGAACCTTTTCTTACTGTGAAATGCCACAGCGTTTGATGCTCCTGGCCTTTTTTCCTACAGCTCAGGGACACTGGGGCCCTCTGTTAACCACTCTGCCCAAGGTCACACAGCTGGGAAAGCTTGAAGCTGGGGTATGAGTTCAGCTGGGAAGCCCCACCTTCCCTGGGTATTGGCGGGCTCTCTCCAGCTACCCCCTTACACTCACGCACACGCACATGCACGCGCGTGCGCGCACACACACACACACACACACACACATACACACACACTGTCTGTGCAGTCCCTCCAGTCCACCCTCCTCTCAGCTGCCAGCTGGTGCCAGGACAAAGGCCAGGAGGTTAATGTCTCTCACCCAAAGTGTGAAAGGACTTTGTGGGTTGTTTGCATACTGAAAGAAAAGGCTGGAGACGAAGCTGGCCCGCTTGGAGCTCACATGGCGGGCCAGAGCTTGCCTTTGTAGAAAAGATACGAAAGAGCCAGATCATTTGCCCAAGGTCAGAGCACATTTGGATTGTGATCATTAAGAACATGCTGTGTGCCAAGCACCGTGTGGATGCTTAGCTGGGACGATGAAAGGG